TTATCCCCAAATGCTCGAAACTCCTTTTTTTTCACTCTACCTCGTTTATGCGAGATGCCTAAAATGTTGAAATGCAAAATACCGCCAATTTTAAATTGCCCTTGCGATACTTTTCGCCGAAGGCCAAAAGAATTATGTTTAATCAGCGTTCAATCACATTCAACGTATTCCCAAAAATGAATAAAAGACAATTTTTGTTTCTAGGAAGAACTGAATCATTTCTGACATGGTATAGCGATAGTAATTGTTACCGGATGCATTATCACGCGATGCCGGAAGAATTATACGAAATTCACGTAGACCGTAGAATGTAGACGTGGAAGATTATCGAATTATTTCATGGCCGTGGTACCGGTTAATTGTCTCGTTTCATCGACAATGTTGAGAACGCGAATTACAAGCTCCAGGTATTTTCTCGCGCGCGAGATTAAAGTGGTTCATTATTAAGAAATGCACCGAGGAATAAGAATGGCGCGGCGAAGAGGTTGGAAAGCGAGGAATGAAAGAGAAAACAGGGTAGAAAAGAATCCGCCTCTTTACCCCATCGATTCTTAGACTCACTTCGACTGGAAAATGCGCCAATTTTAAATTACCCTTGGCAATATTGTTCGGGGAGCATTTTCGAAGGCTAAAGAACTTTTTGCTACAGCAATGCTAGAGCATCAAGGCGTTCTCCCTAAAGAGTCAATTAGGATGTATACACTGCTGTTTATAAGTATTAGGACACCTGTTATGTTCGTACGGAAAGTATCACGCGATTTAAATTACAATTTCTTCGCCAAAACTATCGGTAAAAATATACAGGGTGTTCAGATTACTAGTTTCCAGCGTTTTTCTCGTAAGCAGTAGATTTGTGAGGAAGGTAGAAGAGGAGAAAGTTTCATTACTTTTTATACACGATAAAATAGCTTCAATAGATTTTTTAAAATCGCAATAATTTCCACGTAATGTCTATATTACGAATTTTGTTAAATTAGTAGCTATAATTGTTTTTATATTATATGAAAACAGTTGTCGAGACAAGTTCAACGACCTCCAATAAACTCATTTTCAAACTCAATTTCGTCACAATGTTTAGTGTAGCATAATCAACGACACACTGCTATAGAATCTTATCTTTATGACAGCATCTTAAATGAAAATAGATTTTTAGATGTTTTATCGTGCGTACTCGAAATTCCATCCTGAATCGTTCTTTTTCAAGATCTTAATTATTTTGTAACGACTGTTCAGGTTACTTAGTAGAAAAGAATATTATCGACAATTTCATTGACATTTCAAATTGATACTTATGTAGACAATTTGTACAAAAAATTGTTCTTCCATCTTAATCACCCTTCGAAACCATTTAAATTACGTATAAAAAATTTACCCATATCGCCATAACTAAAGAAACTAATTAAGTGGCGTGTTTTACGAGTCCCAAACCTGTATTTTAAAATATCCTGAAAAATTGAAGGTAAGGAGGGTAGATTAGGCAGCAGGTTGATCGTGTTAGAGAAGAAATTAGTGGAATTATAGAAATCTCGTTAATTTGCAGATCAAGCAAACAACGAGTAAGTAAAAGCATCGAATGACACAATTTTTACTGATTGTAGGCGATTTTCACACCTTCCCTGTAAATATTTTTTCATTTATCAGATCAGGATGTCCTCTTGCTAGAGTGAAAACAAATTCTCATGACTAATTCATTTTGAATAAATCAGCTCGACAGCGCTAGTCAGTAAACCAATCAACGCTAAAATTTCCTCTCCAAAATTATCAATAGAACTCTTTCTTTCCCTCTCCAACTAAATATCAGCAAAACATTTCTCCAATCTATCAACACCTCTCTCCTAAACGTCCATACCAATAAAAACAAAGCGAAACATCGACTGTTTCGACCCGAAGAACCACGACAGCCAAAACGTGCAAGTATTTCCCAAGCTTTTTTATAATCGACACCGGATAATATTCGTCCGATGGTTAAACTTGGTACAAGTAAAACGGAATATATACGTACACAATATGGAGAGCTGTGGCGCCCATTCGATGCACTTAACGTTCTTGGCCAGCCTGGGCATTTTCTCTTCGGAGCACTTCCACAGTATTTGCTGTGGTACTTGCTCGAATGCTTTGTAAAAAGCTGCAAACACCTGGTTCGACATGGTGGACGAGTTTATTTGCGATCCTAGGCTAAAGTAAATAACACCGTCGTTGCCCTGCGCGTCGAGAAAATCCTGAAGATGTTTCGGTAACGGCTGTGGGCCTGACGGCGGTATATGAATACCTCCGAGCTCCTTGAATCCTGGCGCGACCGCTCGCGGCGTGCTGATAACCGGATGCCCGTTCGTCAAGATCAACGATATCTTCGATCGCAGCGTGTCGAAATCGGGCAGATCGTTGCCGAAGTGTTTTTTCGCGATTTCGTAGCTCGGATTGTCCGATAAGTATCTGTAACGTAAGTAATTGGATCGTGTTGTGACACTTACGAGGATAAGATTGGTTTTCGTAGTTCTGAAAACTGTGTTGAGTGTTTTAGAGACAGAGAGTGAAATAAAAATTGGTGAATATTTCTTGGGAGAATTTGTGGGGTTGTTTGATGGTTTAAACTGTTTTGTTTAATATTCTGATACAGCTGGTTAATTTAAATACGAATGTTGTGTAGTTTGCTTAGATTTGGTTGTCTTTAGAAACGATTCAAAGCGATTTTTACACCGAAGTTTTAGTAAACCAATATCTTTATTTCGTGTTCCAGTAGTGTCATATCGCCCACTTTTCGTATATTTGGAATTGACAGTTGGAATTAATTTTGTAATATGCTTCGTTTAAAACTCACATGATGCATTTAAACATTATGAACTTCATCGACGGCGTTATATTTTATGACTTTCTTTTTTAGCAAATGCGATAGGATATTGGCAAAGTATTTCACCTAAGATAATAGGATATTGGCAAAGTATTTTACTTTATGATAGAACACTGGCAAACTACTTTACCTGTACGCCAATTTAGTAACGAAAAAATCCACACTGTTACCAAATCTCTCAAAAAAGTTCATTCGATCCGTGTAACTACTGAACCAGTTCGGTATATAACTAGGAATTTCAGGATTCCTCAAGACGTCGTTCGCCCATGGTACAGTGACGCTAGTGATCGTTCCGATCACAATCGGAATCTCCAAAACATGAGCGATACTAAGAAAACAATCCGACACGAAAATTTCAACGATGTACACGTCGAACTTCTCTCGAGATTGTACAATCTTTCTCAACCCCGGATGACTTAACACAGGATCACATATTACCGAGCCACGATTTTCCAACACCGATTTCAATTTCAACCACTTGTACACTTTATCAGACTGTGACATTGTCATGGTGCCGATCAAGCTCGGCAAACTCGAGCTGACATCTACATCTGTCAAATTGGCCAAAGGTGTTTTTTGAGGAAAATGCGAGACAGAGACCACTTGATGACCTTTCTCTGCCAATCTCTTCAACAACGGCTCGTACACGTTGTAATGACTCCTCGCTTGATGCGGGAATACCACTAAAATTCTAGCACCGTCGACACCGAAGATGACGCATGCGATCAACGTTAGGGCAAATAAGAAATTCATGGTGGTCGGAAAGTGATCGAAAGAGCGAACGTTCGATTCGCCGCACGAGGAGAAAGAATTTCGTTTCAAGTGTACTCGATGAAGAAAGACCGAATACTGTAACGATGTTTGTGGAGAGATTGGAAGATACAAGTGGAGAATCGGCGAGTAGTGGTGTGTAAGTAATAAAACAACGACTGTGTGGTAGTAGAGGATAGGAATAGGTGTATAACGCAGCCGGTCAAGGTTATTCTGTAATCTGTAAGCGTCATTCTGATTTCACAGTCGGTGAGATAAGAATTTCTATACGTGTAAACAGTTTTACGCACAATATCGAGGTATTCTCAGATTTAGGGATCTGACGATAAATTTGGCGCGTGGGACGAAACGGTTTGGCTATTTCTCTGACAATACGATCCATGGGCGATTTGAAAAGATTCTATAGCGATGTTGTGAGATAGCAATTGATCGTTTGTTCGCGAGGATGTTATTCAATTTTCTTTTTAAATTCTCTATTAGAAATGATAACGTGTCGTTACTTTTGAAAAAATTATTTCTGAGTATAAGCGATATCTTGTTGAAAGTTAGTGGCAACGGTAAAATAAGTATTAAAATAGCCTCTACAAAATTAAAATAAACAATATTAGAATGTAAGCAGTAGATTTGTGAGGAAGGTAGAAGAGGAGAAAGTTTCATTACTTTTTATACACGATAAAATAGCTTCAATAGATTTTTTAAAATCGCAATAATTTCCACGTAATGTCTATATTACGAATTTTGTTAAATTAGTAGCTATAATTGTTTTTATATTATATGAAAACAGTTGTCGAGACAAGTTCAACGACCTCCAATAAACTCATTTTCAAACTCAATTTCGTCACAATGTTTAGTGTAGCATAATCAACGACACACTGCTATAGAATCTTATCTTTATGACAGCATCTTAAATGAAAATAGATTTTTAGATGTTTTATCGTGCGTACTCGAAATTCCATCCTGAATCGTTCTTTTTCAAGATCTTAATTATTTTGTAACGACTGTTCAGGTTACTTAGTAGAAAAGAATATTATCGACAATTTCATTGACATTTCAAATTGATATTTATGTTGACAATTTGTACAAAAAATTGTTCTTCCATCTTAATCACCCTTCGAAACCATTTAAATTACGTATAAAAAATTTACCCATATCGCCATAACTAAAGAAACTAATTAAGTGGCGTGTTTTACGAGTCCCAAACCTGTATTTTAAAATATCCTGAAAAATTGAAGGTAAGGAGGGTAGATTAGGCAGCAGGTTGATCGTGTTAGAGAAGAAATTAGTGGAATTATAGAAATCTCGTTAATTTGCAGATCAAGCAAACAACGAGTAAGTAAAAGCATCGAATGACACAATTTTTACTGTTTAAAGTATAAGTCGGGTAACGCTGATGTGTTGCAATCAGAGTATGATTAAAGGAGAAGCATGTTAACGTTTCCAACTTCGTAAAGTGATATAACTTGCACTCTCAATGACGTCAGCAGAGCTGAATCCATTCTCGGTAGCGTCGCCTTTGTCCTCCTTCAAGTTTCGTACTTACTTAACCGTAAATCACCATTTGGGAATACAGACGTATTATTAATGAAATCCATTGAAATTTTGCAATCTTAAAATTGAGAATTTAATACCGCGGGAGTATACAAAAATCTGCAAGCATTAACGAATGCAGAAAGTTTAATATAGCGAATTTTAATCATTCTTTTTAATATCTATAATCCTTAATCGTCGATCAAATTTTAAATAAAATACCAAATTGTAACACCTTTCTTCTTTTTTAATTCCTGACTACTATTTGAGTGGAAGAAGAAAAATTATTGAAGAAAACTGAAGAAATCGTTCTTAAAATTAAGGAAATAAATATTGCACATTTCAATAATTTTTTTTTTAATATTTATAATCGTACAATATGGAGAGCTGTGGCGCCCATTCGATGCACTTAACGTTCTTGGCCAGCCTGGGCATTTTCTCTTCGGAGCACTTCCACAGTATTTGCTGTGGTACTTGCTCGAATGCTTTGTAAAAAGCTGCAAACACCTGGTTCGACATGGTGGACGAGTTTATTTGCGATCCTAGGCTAAAGTAAATAACACCGTCGTTGCCCTGCGCGTCGAGAAAATCCTGAAGATGTTTCGGTAACGGCTGTGGGCCTGACGGCGGTATATGAATACCTCCGAGCTCCTTGAATCCTGGCGCGACCGCTCGCGGCGTGCTGATAACCGGATGCCCGTTCGTCAAGATCAACGATATCTTCGATCGCAGCGTGTCGAAATCGGGCAGATCGTTGCCGAAGTGTTTTTTCGCGATTTCGTAGCTCGGATTGTCCGATAAGTATCTGTAACGTAAGTAATTGGATCGTGTTGTGACACTTACGAGGATAAGATTGGTTTTCGTAGTTCTGAAAACTGTGTTGAGTGTTTTAGAGACAGAGAGTGAAATAAAAATTGGTGAATATTTCTTGGGAGAATTTGTGGGGTTGTTTGATGGTTTAAACTGTTTTGTTTAATATTCTGATACAGCTGGTTAATTTAAATACGAATGTTGTGTAGTTTGCTTAGGTTTGGTTGTCTTTAGAAACGATTCAAAGCGATTTTTACACCGAAGTTTTAGTAAACCAATATCTTTATTTCGTGTTCCAGTAGTGTCATATCGCCCACTTTTCGTATATTTGGAATTGACAGTTGGAATTAATTTTGTAATATGCTTCGTTTAAAACTCACATGATGCATTTAAACATTATGAACTTCATCGACGGCGTTATATTTTATGACTTTCTTTTTTAGCAAATGCGATAGGATATTGGCAAAGTATTTCACCTAAGATAATAGGATATTGGCAAAGTATTTTACTTTATGATAGAACACTGGCAAACTACTTTACCTGTACGCCAATTTAGTAACGAAAAAATCCACACTGTTACCAAATCTCTCAAAAAAGTTCATTCGATCCGTGTAACTACTGAACCAGTTCGGTATATAACTAGGAATTTCAGGATTCCTCAAGACGTCGTTCGCCCATGGTACAGTGACGCTAGTGATCGTTCCGATCACAATCGGAATCTCCAAAACATGAGCGATACTAAGAAAACAATCCGACACGAAAATTTCAACGATGTACACGTCGAACTTCTCTCGAGATTGTACAATCTTTCTCAACCCCGGATGACTTAACACAGGATCACATATTACCGAGCCACGATTTTCCAACACCGATTTCAATTTCAACCACTTGTACACTTTATCAGACTGTGACATTGTCATGGTGCCGATCAAGCTCGGCAAACTCGAGCTGACATCTACATCTGTCAAATTGGCCAAAGGTGTTTTTTGAGGAAAATGCGAGACAGAGACCACTTGATGACCTTTCTCTGCCAATCTCTTCAACAACGGCTCGTACACGTTGTAATGACTCCTCGCTTGATGCGGGAATACCACTAAAATTCTAGCACCGTCGACACCGAAGATGACGCATGCGATCAACGTTAGGGCAAATAAGAAATTCATGGTGGTCGGAAAGTGATCGAAAGAGCGAACGTTCGATTCGCCGCACGAGGAGAAAGAATTTCGTTTCAAGTGTACTCGATGAAGAAAGACCGAATACTGTAACGATGTTTGTGGAGAGATTGGAAGATACAAGTGGAGAATCGGCGAGTAGTGGTGTGTAAGTAATAAAACAACGACTGTGTGGTAGTAGAGGATAGGAATAGGTGTATAACGCAGCCGGTCAAGGTTATTCTGTAATCTGTAAGCGTCATTCTGATTTCACAGTCGGTGAGATAAGAATTTCTATACGTGTAAACAGTTTTACGCACAATATCGAGGTATTCTCAGATTTAGGGATCTGACGATAAATTTGGCGCGTGGGACGAAACGGTTTGGCTATTTCTCTGACAATACGATCCATGGGCGATTTGAAAAGATTCTATAGCGATGTTGTGAGATAGCAATTGATCGTTTGTTCGCGAGGATGTTATTCAATTTTCTTTTTAAATTCTCTATTAGAAATGATAACGTGTCGTTACTTTTGAAAAAATTATTTCTGAGTATAAGCGATATCTTGTTGAAAGTTAGTGGCAACGGTAAAATAAGTATTAAAATAGCCTCTACAAAATTAAAATAAACAATATTAGA